CCCCCCCCCCCCCCCCAAAAGCCTTCCAGGCCCTGTAAAAAATGTGACCCCTTATCCCCAGAACTTTCCTGGCCCCAGCTTTTCGACGATTCTAGATCCGTCAATCTTAGGTCCAGAAAAATCGGCAGGCCATAGACTTCAGGGCCCTGAGTCCTCAAAACCCCTCAGGCCCCTCCTGAACCCAAACCCTAAAACCTTTGCTCAAGTTCCGGGTGTAGGTTTCAAGAAAAAGGCAAGGGACTTGCTCTGTCACGGCGTAGCCAGGATGAGGACCTCATCTCTGCGCAATGCCGTCCGCTTGGCCTTGATGGCGATGGCCTTCCTTGCGAAGTGGGCAGCACCGACGTTTTCCATGGCTCCCACCCCTTCCAACGACATGGAGATGAGCTTCGGCAAGCATCGTGGTCGCCTGATTTCGGAGATTGTCGAAGACGACCCCAGCTACCTGCAGTGGCTTCTGGGACAGGCTGAGGCTGCAGGACCGCAACTGGAAGCCTCGGCTCACCCTTACGTCTTCCCCGTCGACCTGGACGATGGGCGTCTCCTTGAGATCTCTTGGCGCAAGGGTGACGACCACGAGAAGGTGGCGCATGATTTCGTGACCGAGAAGGGGTTGCCAGAGGACAACATTCCCGAAATCATCAGCTTCCTGAAGGATATCGAGCAGAACCGCGTTGGGTACCGTGTTGACGAGCCGGTCTCAGAGGCACCTTCACGCCAATTGTTGGAAGTCGCAGAGTTCGTTTGGAAGCATTTCCCGCAAGTCGAAGGTTTAGTCAGCTTCGGCAAGTACAGGGGCAGGGCGCTCTCGCAGGTGGTGCAGGACGATCCGGAGTACTGCTCTTGGATTCTTGAGACGGCCGCCAAAGCGGACTCCAGTGACCAGCTGCGGCAGGCTGCGAAAAGGATCCAGGAGAATCATCCGGATCTCGTGACCCAGCTCGAACAGTGGCCTGAGAATGCGGATGGACAAACGACTGTGACATGTGGCAAGCACAAGGGCAAGTCCTTCCAGGCGGTGTTGCAGGAGGATACAGACTACGTCTGCTGGCTCATCGACAACATCGGCGACGAAGCACGTAGCAAAAACCTTCGCGCGCTAATCAGTTTCGCCCGGCGACATGCAGATTGCCGAGGTGGAGTGGAGGGGAAGCAGGTGTGAATGGGCATGCCCCTTCAGCGATTCAGCGGCATCGGCGAACTGAGACAGACCAACGCAGGCATCTCGTCTGAGAGTGGTTTTGGGGTAGCTGGGCAGCACCGACGTTTTCTATGGCTCCCACCCCTTCCAACGACATGGAGATGAGCTTCGGCAAGCATCCTTCGAAAACGACCCCAGCTACCTGCAGTGGCTTCTGGGACAGGCTGAGGCTGCAGGACCTCAACTGGAAGCCTCGGCTCACCCTTACGTCTTCCCCGTCGACCTGGACGATGGGCGTCTCCTTGAGATCTCTGGCGCAAGGGTGCGACCACGAGACGGTGGCGCATGATTTCGTGACCGGACTCCAGTGACCAGCTGCGGCAGGCCGCGAACTGGATCCAGGAGAATCATCCGGATCTCGTGACCCAGGTCGAACAGTGGCATGAGAATGTGGATGGACAAACGACTGTGACATGTGGCAAGCACAAGGGCAAGTCCTTCCAGGCGGTGTTGTAGGAGGATACAGACTACGTCTGCTGGCTCATCGACAACATCGGCGACGCTACAGGTCGCAAAAACCTTCGCGCGCTAATCAGTTTCGCCCGGCGACATGCAGATTGCCGAGGTGGAGTGGAGGTGAAGCAGGTGTGAATGGGCATGCCCGGTCCACTTCAGCGACATCTGCGAACTGAGACAGACCAACGCAGGCATATCCTCTGAGAGTGGGTTTGGGGTAGCTGCGAGGACCGGGTTAAAATCGAGCCAGCACTCCGTGCGTTGAATCACCGGAGGCTTACATAACCCGAAACCGTACCTCAAGCCGTCAACGGCTCCGTTCGCTTGCGGTCCTAAACTTTTCCTGACCTGTTGGTACTCTTTGTTTGTCAATTCGACCCGTAGTATTATGGTGGTCTGTCGAAGGAGCGATTTTGATGGGAGCACGTCGGGGTCTTGAGTGCAAGGGTATCTGGGGATGGTAGTTGTCGCTGCAGCTGCCAAAGAAACCGAGCTTTCCGCTGGTTACAATCATGTAAGAACCCCCTTCACTCAACAGCCCAATAAACCCTAAACCCTAAACCCTTCATAGCTGCAATGCACTCAAAAGCCCAAAACCCCAAGCCTTCAGCAGCGGCCCTGAGGGATGTCGGAGTCCTGGGCTTGGATGGAATTTGATCTCATCCATGCCGTGCTAGGGGAGAGATGCAGCACATCGTGCTCCCAAGGTTTAGGGCCAGTTTAGGGTTTAGGGTTTAGGGATTTAGGAGTCTGATGTTCAAGAGTTTCGGGGTTACGGATCGAGAGTCTGAGGATAGACCTCTAAGGACTTTACATCTAAGAGACGTTGAGGAGCAGCGATCTGTTCTGGTGGCGTGGGCATCGAAGAACTGGGGCCCAATCTCCACTGCAACAGTCGTTCCAAACCTTCAACCTTCAAACGTGAACCTTCAACCCCAAACCCCTAAACCCCTAAGCCCCTGAAGCCTCCCTAAAACCCCTAAAGCCCTAAACCTCTAAACCCTGAAGCCCCCCAAACACCCCTAAAGCCCCTAAAGCCCCTAAACCGTGGTGCTTCGGACTTCGGGCCCGATCCTTTCGGGAACCTCCGCCCCCGTCTGCCGAGGCAACGCGCTCATGCGTGGACGGGGAGAGGCCCAAGGCCCCCCCCGAAGTTTTGGATGCAGTTTGGGTTTAGGGTTTAAGATTTAGGGTTTAAGGTTCAGGGTTTTGGGTTTAGGGTTTTGGGTGTGGGGTTTAGGGTTTAGGGTTTCGGGTAAGTGTCACAGCATGTTATTATGCTTAGTATGTTACGGTGTATCATGATATGGCCTGATCGTAATACCCATGTTATGATTAGTATGTTACAACTAGGACGTTATGACATGGTGTACTATAGTATATCATGAGTAGTTTACTATAGTATGTAATGATACAGTACGTCATATAGTATACTATGCTGTAGTATATTATAGTTGGTTATGATTCGTATGTTATAGTATATTTTACTAATATTATAGACCCAAGCTCCTCCGGCTTCAATTCCAGAAGGGGCCAGGATGTATGGTGTGGGGTGTAGGGTTTGGGGTTTAGGGCTGAGGATTGACGATGAATCCGAGATCCTGAACCTTCAAGACCGGTTGCTGCGTCTGGGTTCGTGAGCGGGTTTGTACCAGCAGATAATAGGGGGTATCGTATTTTGGGGTCCTGATAATGAGGATCCTACTATTTAGGGTACTATATTAGGGTCCCCTATGATAACGAGGATCCTACTATTTAGGGTACTATATTAGGGTCCCCTATTTAGGGTTCTTCAGGTTCGAGTTCTTGTCCGATCATTACGCGGACATGTTGCGGAGCCTTGCCTGGGTCGTGCGAGTTGCGGGTGTCGAAAAACTCTAAACTAAACTCTAAACCCTAAACCCTAAACCCTGAACCCTAAACCCTAAACCCAAAACCCTATACTTCTAGCGTGCCGTGTCGGTCGCTGCAGTTCAACTCACCGGTTCTCGAGATCGGAAAGTTTGGGCTTCTGCTCCATTCAGCCAGAGAGATGACAGCTTTTGGAGGCCTCGGCGCCGCAGAAGATCGACTTTAGGTTGCAGGGTTTGGCTTTGGGGTTTATCTAGGTAGGCCTTTGGGATATTCTATATTTTCCCTTATTGGGCTTAAGAGGACCCGATTTACGAATATTTTCCAGAGGCTTTAAAGGGCCAACCAGTTATGGGTTTGAGGCCTTCGGGTCCTAAGGTCTCGGATTTTCCGGGGGCGCGGGGGTTTGGGGTGGCTTGCAGAGCGGTTCAAGGCTTCACCCCAGCGCCTTCAGACCCACAGACTCCCATAGGGTAGTTCTCTGCATTAGGGTCCCCTTTTCGGTCCCTAATATTAGTACAGCACCCTGATACAAAGGACCCTCAAAGAGACCCTAATTTTGAGAACGACCCGATTCAGAAACCCACAACCAAACACCTCGGCCGGCATGTCCCGAGTACGAGCGCTGAAAGCCTATCTACTCATAGCCGTGGCTTCGTGGCCTCTGGGGCGGAGAGGTGATCGTGGCTGCTTCTGCGTCTTCCTCTTCGCGGTGCTCTTGCGCCCCTAGGCGGCTCGAAAACTAGACCTCGTCGCTTCTCGAAGCCCTAAGGTCCTGCTAGGGTCTAACTCTTTGAAATTGAAACTCACCCGCAGGCCCAGCCGCACAAAATGCTTTGGTGTTAAACACTCAATTCCCAAACCCCTAACTGCAGCTGCGACCATAACGAGTATCATCGTCTTCCTTCCCTTAAACCCTAAACCGAAAAGGCCCTAAACCCCAATGGGCCCCAAAAGACCCCAAACCCTAAACCGCTAGTGTGGTCGGTATCAAGCCCCTCAAGGGAGCGCCTTTCGCAGGGAAAAGGTTGCAAGAGCCTCAGGCTTCCTTCAGTTGTGTTGGAGCTCGGTGTCGCTTCTGCTGCTACTTGTAATCATTGTTAGTCTTATGGCTGCTGCTATTGCTACTACTATGGCTACTACTATGACCATTGTTATCATGATGATTATTGCTCCTATTGTTACTAGTGTTACTATACTCATTAAACCCTAAAACCCTAAACCCCCTAAACCCTTAAACTCTTAAACGTGGGAGGGAAAAAACCCTTAAACCCTTAAGCCCTAAAGCCCTAAACCCTAAATTTATTACTGGTTCGTGGGGATGTCGGTCTGGGGCCGTGCGGCCTCCTTAGGTCTGGTGCTTAGGATGGAGTGGTGCTGCCATGCTACGTAATGTAGGGGCTTAGGGGTTTAGAGTTTAGGGTTTAGGCCTTAATAGCTAGGATAGGGTTTTGGGGCTCCTTATTATGATTAGACTAGAATAAACCGTAATATACCCCAAAACCCCATTCTAACTATTAAGGCCTCTATATTATGCACAGGCTTGTCGGCACATGGGCTGTTGTTCATACCGAACTCAGTCGTGGCTGCGTAGAGGATCGTTCCACGGTGAGAGTTGTTTTATTGCTGTGGTGGGTTGTCCTGGCTGTTGGCCTTAAGCCGTACTCTCACTTGTGGTGCGGGTCTTTCATCCAGGGATCCAGGATAGCCAGAAAGACCAAGAAATGCCGATCATGCCTGCGTTCCCAAATCCTGGCATGCACATCTGGTTGCGAGAACTGCAGCATGTGCTGCAGTAGAGACGTTGGGTTTGGGGCGGGATGTTTGCCGCCCCTTCGTGGGCGTCAGAGAAGTTCTTTCAGGCGTTGAGCCTGCAAACTACAAACTGCTCTGTTCTGCAAGGCGTCTGAAGGCACATGTTTTTGTTAATCGCAGTTTCTTCAGAATCTAGAATCAGGCAGAAATTCTGATTCGAAACCGCTTCAAGATACTAAAGCATTGAGTTGGGGATTCTTTCAGTCGCAGGGTCCCGTCGAAACTTCCCACTAGTAGCATTTGAGCCCACGGGGTGTTTGTAGGATGTGCCAGGGGTTGAACATGTGAGTCCCAACAACTAAGCAGCATGATTCCTTCCTAAACCCTATAAGCCCTATAGGCCCTATCTATGCCTTTGTTGTACCGCCCCAAAATCCTGGTCAAACAACTTGGGTTCCGAGGTGCTTCTGCTGACCTAACCTACGCGCTGGCGGACCCCACCCCGCCGCTCCAACCGTGAGAGAGTCTTTTTGCTATTCGAGCGCACCTGTTGCTTTAATTGCACATGTCGATTCTTAATACATTAGCTGAGATGAAGCTGTTCGGGGCCGCAAGGTTACTGCCGTGGAGTCTCCAAAGCCTTGAACCCGAGAAAGGCAAAGCAGCTAGGGCGGGGTGGGCGGTGTTAAGAATCTAGCAAAATCCAGCGATAAGATCCAGAACAGAAGGGTTTTGGGTTCGGTCCTTCGGGTTTTGGGTTCAGTTCGGTCAGCTCAGGTCCTACGACCTTGAACACACTGCCGCCCACGACATCATGGCCTTCTTTGCGCACCTGCTCTCCAGGACCGGAGTCCTCCAGAAAGAGCTGAGAGAGAAGGAACGGTCTTAGGATGGTGTCCGGTTCATTCCAAACTCTCCGAGGCGGCAGCCATGATGAAGGCAGTCGTTTTTACATTTTTAAGTATGTCACATAAACAGTCAGTGAACACAGTGTGAACACTAAGCATCTGACACGTAATATGCTTAGCAATAGCAGGAGTTCTAGTCACTCGAGTAACACTACAGCCCTAAACGGGGCCCGAAACCGTAACCAACAGACCTACTTGAGGTTAGTGGCCTCAGGGCCTAGGGATTTGGAGGTTTGGGCTGATGGTGAGGGAAGGGCCAGTGACGAAGAACATATAGGCCAGGATTTGCGACAGAGTTGTGGTGAGCGTATGTTGGTGAAGGTGCAATATAGGGGCCTTAATAATAAGAATAGGGTTTTGGCGCCCATTATACTGTATTTATGATAAGGAACCCCCCCAAAAACCTATTCTAATTATTCAGGCCCTAAAATTACTGGAAAAGATCTGTAGGCCTAGCGGCCTTTTGCGCAGGACTTTTCGTGCTCCGCTCCACACCTCTTGGCTGCTGGGCTTAGGGCTTTGGGGTTTAGGGTTTAGGGGTCTATCAGGATCATCAGGCTCTTTCAACAGCGTATCCGACAGATAAGCTCGTAAGATCGTGAGGATTGTGCGTACTTAGCC